ATATAATAAGTATATGTTGAAATAATAACTAAATAAGAGTTAGAGATTCATTTCTATTCATTATTTATAAGCAAGTCAAGGTTTATTTCTTTTTCCTTTTATCTTTTGCATCACATTACTTAATTAGGTCGCTTATACTGTTTTCTAATAAAATGCAATAATGCTATCAAATATATGAATCTGCTCAGAGAACTGCAGAGAATCAGACTATCATTATATGCATAAGTGTGTCCTGTGCTGAGGTAGCAAGATATAATGGAACTTTGACTGTTCATTTGGTTAATATTTTAAAAGCCCAGAGATGACTGTTCACTAAAGTTATGCATTTGACAGCTTTCCACTATATCAGGTCATGAAAGTTTTATTAGCAATACTGCTACTTCTTACAAATTTACAAAATATGAAATGCCTCCAGATGGTGTGTTTAAACTAAATCAGACAATCTTCATCATAAACAGCCGCACAGAACCCAGCATTTCATCAGGAAAGCGGAAAGTCGTTCAGGCAGAGTGCGGCTGGGGCTGAGGTGAACGCAGCCCCCGGGGAAGCGGAGGAGCGTGAGTCAGACGCGGAGGCCGAGCATGACCCTCCGGAGGCCGCCAGTGGGAGCTCCGAGGACCCATACGATGACTTGTACGTGTTCATTCCCGAAGCCGATCCAGAAAATGATTCACCAGAGCCGCTCATGAGCAGCAGACCCCCCCTCCTCCCACCGCGACCTACAGCTGCCGCCTGCCAACTGGAAAAACCTCACTTCACCTTACACGGTAAGTTTAAGGTTAAAAAACAAAACAAACAAACAAAAAACACCTTTGACAGGCTTACACAGGTATAGTGCAGTGGCAAATCTACGCAGAGATCAGCTTTTGAAACCAAGAGCAACTTTCCTCCTTTTCTTTAACAACTAAGGTCTGAGAAATGAGGCAAGAGATACCTCTGCTCTTTCTTTTCTTTTCCTTTCTTTCTTTCTTTCTTTCTTTCTTTCTTTCTTTCTTTCTTTTCTTTCTTTCTTTCTCTCTTTCTTTCTTTTCTTTCTTCTCTCTCTCTCTCTCTCGTCTCCCCCCCTTTTCTTTTCTTTCTTTCTCTCTCTTTTTTCACTCTTTCTCTCCTCTCCTCTCATTCTCTCTGTCTTTCTTCTGGAAAAAAGTCTCATTACAAAACTTTAGGAAAACAAAGAAATAAAACTTGGAAGGAGTCTATAGTTCTTCACATAAAATGAACCTCAGGTATCCTGTGGAAAACAACATTGCTTTCAAAAAATACTCTCAGTCTTCTGGTAAGAGGGACAGGCTAATGATTTACAGATGATTTGCAAGTGGCCTTGGGCACTTCACTTACTTGGTAACTACAGGAGAATTAAGTGGTGAAGGATTTATCGCACACTGCATTGCGACCCAAATCTAACCTGCTCTATACACAGCCATAAGTGGAAGAACTGTCACCGCGGCTGGTAGCATTTGTTGTTCCCAGATGCAGGAATTAGGGTGTGGAAGGTGGGGATACGCTCTTCCAGCCTTGCACAGGCTGGGAAGAAGAGCTTCCACACTGGGCTCATCTGCCCAGCCTGTTCGACAGCCTGAAACACTTCCAGCTCTAGGTTGACTCTTAAAGTTGCTAATTATCACCCACTTTATTGATCATTATTGAATATTTACTTTTCAAATAATAAAATGTTCTTATGAAGAAAATTTAGTAAGAAAGATGAAAAAAACACCCATTATCAAAACCCCATTTGTCACTATACCTTAGCTTTCGGGTCCTAGAAGGCTATAATGTACATAAACACACTGTTTCAAAAGTGAATCTTGAAGCAATGAAATTTAATATTTTTTCCTTGAAGGCACTGTATCTAGGAAGGCTCAAGTTTATCAGCATAAGCCTTACTAAGGTTATGCACTATATTCAGAGATGGAAGGTACTGCTTAATGGAAATACTGCAAACTACTAGACACTCCTCTGATTCATTCACTCCTTCAGCAGATATTTATTGATTACCTACTATGTGTCAAGTTCTTGTAGACCCTTGAGATACTCCTATACCAATGAAATATGTATAATCATATTTGAGGGGGCATAGGTTAGTAGTACACTGATAACAAAATTCTGGCATATCATTCTCATTTTCTCATATTTGAACAATTTCATGTATTATTTAATTGTTACAAAGGCAAGGTTTCTTATGTCAGGTTAAGTCTTGTAAAGGAGCTGATATTAAATTATGTTTTTCTTAATGTAAATTTTTATGTATGATATGTTTGGTTAGGAGGTCTAAAACTACTCTACCCAGAGTGTTCACCAGAAATGTAGTGGTGGCTAATATATCTCCTGAAATATAAAAAGCAAAATAAAACAAAAACCCACTCCATGTATTTAAAAGCTTTATTTTTATATATTGTAATCAGTGCTACGTTTCATCTTATCCTTTCATAGGACTGATATTGGAAGTGAGTAGAAAATAAAATGTCAATTTTTTTCATAAAATTTTTTTATTAATGTCTTTAAAAGCAAGGCTATAAGCTACCACTTATTTTTCACTGCAGACTTTGTATGGGTTCTTTGACTTTACCTAGTGATAACTTCAGGATTGTCCTTTAAGAGTAGCTTCCATCTACCCTCAAGTTACTGGAAAAAATAAAAATAAAAAAGGACATCTCATCAATGCCCTAGGCATAAAATTCCTCACCATGTATTTATGAATATATTCATTGGAGAAACTAAGAATATCTAATAATATGTAACTCTATAATAGGGCACTTTTCAATTTCTAAAGAGCACGGTTGTCTCTTTTTATCTTCACAGCGATCCTGAAAAGTAACTATCACCGTGTTCTGTCTTTGACTCAGATCCCAGACCACAGAGCCTGTAATTACAATGTGTCAGATACTTACTTCAGTGAACATATTTCCTGGGCTTGTAGCATTCTTCTCTTTTTTACACACTCTTGCCCCAATTATTTCAAAAGTTGGAATTATGGGAGTGTTTTATTTTAATCTTTACTTATTAATGTATAACCTGAATTGAGAAAGCTCAGGTCCCACTCTTAAATGCAAAGTACAATCAGATACTTTGGAAAATAAAAAGTAAAATGTATTATTTCTAGTGCAAGCTCAACTTTAGAAATAGTTGGGAAGAGAAGTGGGTGGGAAAACAGAGTTAACAGCTCAGGAAATCAGTTTATAAAAGTAGGATAGGTGACACATTCCGCTAAAAATGAAACACTGTAAAAGTGCTTCCCACAACTTAATCTGGTTTCACCTGTGATATTCTGTCAGTGAAACAGAAGTCACGAAGTCAAATTCTCAAAACCATATTATTCACAGGGAAAAAGGCAACTCTTGATGATTTTAAAGTTAGTGCTAGTCACATAAGTAGTTAATACTGTACTTCTTAAGTTAAACTAACTGAAATAATAAAATTTAAGACTGTTGGGAGATTATCCTGTTCTCTCCTCATAAGCCTACTTAAAACCATTGCTGCATCTTCTTACAATAATAACTTTTTATTCTGCTCTACTATTCATCTTTTCTCTTAGATTCTAAGATTTTCCACTAAAATCTTCATAAGTAAACTCAATAATTTGGTGGGGGAGGGGAGTCAGATTCTTACCAAACAAAGGACAAATTTAACAAACACAAAAAGAAGAGAGAGAGGGCGAGGAAAAAAAAAACAAAAGCAAATAACCCTTAATTGGTCTGATGGAGAGCCATCAAAATTCTTTTTAATTATTTATTCAGCAAAGTATATCATATCTTTGTCTTCTAAATAACTGCTACTAAAATATTTTAACACATTCGTATAAAATATGTNTAGATTCTAAGATTTTCCACTAAAATCTTCATAAGTAAACTCAATAATTTGGTGGGGGAGGGGAGTCAGATTCTTACCAAACAAAGGACAAATTTAACAAACACAAAAAGAAGAGAGAGAGGGCGAGGAAAAAAAAACAAAAGCAAATAACCCTTAATTGGTCTGATGGAGAGCCATCAAAATTCTTTTTAATTATTTATTCAGCAAAGTATATCATATCTTTGTCTTCTAAATAACTGCTACTAAAATATTTTAACACATTCGTATAAAATATGTAAAGATTTTACTGAATATAAAAACCATAAAAGACTGAAACTTGTAGCTTTATTCTTTTCATATGAATTAATCCTTAAGCCATTGATTATCCACACTGTCTTTTATGTCACAAACCCTACTTCTGGTCTCCTTTATCTATGAATGAGGTTTGTGTTGGTTTGTAGGAATCAAGAGTTACATTTTTGAAGGTCAGATTTCTTAGCCAGAAACTGACTGCTAGGAAACCAAGTAATAGTGTTTTTGGCTATTTCCCCATCATCTTCAGAGAAATTGAATTTTAGGTGAAATATCCAGTGCAAGCAATATGGAAGGTAAAATGACTTCACATGAAAAAAATCTAAGGATATTATGCTTGAAACACACAAATTTTCAAAAATTTGGAGTGTGAGACTCAGATTTATAACTCAATTTCCTGATATTAAGTCATTCACTATATATGTATGTATTCACAAAATAATGTGGAAATACTTATGTTTCTAAAGAAATTCATACTTTAAACAAAGTGTTTTTGTTAACAAAATTAACAATTATAAACTGCAGGAGGAAGTGTTAGTAAGTTACATAGTTCACTTTCACTTGGAAATTTATGGGGTAATATATAAATTATTTTTATGGAGATTAGGAGCTTATCTCTTATCATTTCTTATAGCATTTGATTAAGACACTTTGGGAAACTCAAGCAAGTGACTAAGGAATAATATTGCATTTAATAGAAGAGTAAATACAATCTAAATATTTTATAAGCAGGCAAAAGGGCGGAAGGCCACATGGAAAGAAGTAAGAAATGGTGTGATCCCGGCGTGAGACAAGAACCAGGAGATGAACTCAAAGGAGAAGAAGAGAAGAAAGAAGATGAAAAGGAGCAGGAGAAAGAGGAAGATCCACACACTTTTGCTGAGATCGATGACAGCGATGACATGATACTGGCCAACATGAGTATGAAGAAAAAAACTGGAAGTCGGTCTTTCATTATAAACAGACCTCTTGCCCCGACACCCGACCCACAAGCATCCCTCGGAGGAGGAAACCACACCTTACATAGCTCAAGGTAATGTTTTGTTGTTGTTGTTGCTGTTTGTTTGTGGATTTTTTTTGTCCTTTTGTGTATCAGAGGGGAGTGGGTATAAGGTGTTATGATTAGTGCTCTAAAACTCCAAAGATTAAAAATATCTTTTCAAGTCACAGTTGAGACTTGAATTTTAGAAACATAATGAATAAAGAAAACAAGAATGATGGCTTAGGTTCTAGTTTCTAATTCTCCAATAAGAAGGATAATTTTGACAAATCATCCAAGGAACATGGAATCATAGTATATATGGAGAAATTCTATTTGATATTTCCTCCATAATTACAAGAATTCTACATAAATCTACAATAATAAAATGTGAATTGGAACAATTATTAAGATTATGAAGGCAGGGAATAAGCTTTAATTAGAAATTCTCTGATTTTCTATCACAGTGATCTCTAGAATTTTCTGTCTCTTTGACAAGGCTGCTAAATCCCAATAAATATTTTTAAAAGGGAGAAAATAGATACACCTCGATACAAGAACTTAGTTACATTCTAGAAATTTTTGAAGAGGTAAATTATCTTCTATACTCCTGTAGAGCTAGAGCTGGTTCTGGAGCTCACAGACTCCTCAAGCCCGTTGTCCAGACTAGGTCACAAACCCTTCACATGCCAGGCTGGGTCACCAGACCCCTTACACGCAGGTCTATGAGCTAGGTAACCGGCAAACAGGTCCTTGGAAGCCACAGGCTGGAAAGCATGGCAGCTGGGTGCACCAGCCAACCAAGGCAGCAAACTCCAGCCAACGTGGCAGTGATGCACATGCACGCTAACCCCACCCCCCCCACACAATTTGTTTACTGAACCACCTCCAACTGGCCCTGAGGCAAAGGGAACCTGATTAAATTATTCTGTTTTCCCAACTTAGGGAGATTCTCAGGACCACAAATATTGACTCCCATGTTATATTGTTCCACTTTTGGGGCATTATCTTGCCATTTTTCTGTTGTCAGTCATATTCTTATTTTCCAAGATCTCTTTTTTGTTCTTTGTTCTTTTTATAGCATTCTCTTCTCTTTTGGGGGTGGGAAAGAAGTGCAATGCAGTATCTTTGTTACTTTTTTTTTGTTTGTTTAATTTTGTTTTGATTTAGGTTTTTTAATTTGTTTTGATTTTTATTTTTCTTCTGCTCTCATTGTCTCTTCTTTCTGTATTTGTTGATTGTTTGTTCTGTCTATATTGCTTGACACTCCCATCAAATATGGCTATTCTCAGCTATGCTTTCATGTTTAAGAACGAAGCACCAAAAATGTGAATAGAACCTCTGCTTGTTAACTTGTCGACTGCACTGTATATAATAGGGAGGTAACCATCCTTTTCATAGAATGACCCCAGAAAGTAATTTATGTAGCTCTATTCTCCTATGCTTTTCAATTTTTCTAGAATAAAATCTAACTAACTTTCATCTGCACTTACACTCATATATCTAGTTGCCAGCACGGTGAGATTACAGTGTGTGGAGAAGACTGGGACATTTCATCACTCGGAATGTTCAATTTAACTTGCTCTACCTGTTTCCATAGGATTTTAAGGAATCTTAGAAATCTTGAGTTTCTAAGAAATTGTAAAGGTTATTTAACTCACCTA